AACCCTTAACCCTAAACCCTAAACCCTAAACCCTAAACCCTAAACCCTAAACCCTAAACCCAACCCCCCCGCTTTTTAGCTTCTTTCAAAGCATGTGAATCTTGAAACCCATCATGCAAGCAAACTCATCATGCAAGCATTGAGTTTGCAAATGGGGGGGTGCTGCGCCCCCCCCCCCCCCCCCCCCCCGCTTTTTTAGGCAACCCTAAAACCTAACCCTAAACCCTAACCCTAAACCCCCTAAACCCTAAAACCCTAAACCCTAAACCCTAAACCCTAAACCCTAACCCAACCCCCCCGCTTTTTAGCTTCTTTCAAAGCATGTGAATCTTGAAACCCATCATGCAAGCAAACTCATCATGCAAGCATTGAGTTTGCAAATGGGGGGGGGCTGCGCCCCCCCCCAACCCCCCCCGCTTGGGCTGCGCCCCTCCCCCCCCCAACCCCCCCGCTTTTTTAAGCTAAACCCTAAAACCTAAACCCTAAACCCTACACCCTAAACCCTACACCCTAAACCCTTAACCCTTAACCCTTAACCCTTAACCCTGGGTATATAGGGTTTATAGGGAAGGGCTCAGTACCCCCTCGACAGAGGGGGGAAGCCAAGAGGTTCCCGACCAGCAAGCCAGAAAAAATCTACAAAAAAAAAACGGAAAAAAACTACGCAAAAAAATCCCAGCCCAAACCCTAAACCCTAAACCCTAAACCACAAACCGTTGGTGGGTGGCTCGGGCCAACATTTTCCCCATGACAGGCTTCCACAGCAGCTCCGCGTGGGTCGAGGAGTCCCTGGGCCCGTTCCTCACGCTCCTTGCAGCCACGCCCCTCGCCCTAAAACCTGCGTCCTATAGGGCCGGAAGAATTACTAATAGTCTTCCCCAAGGGTCCCTATAGTGTATACTATAATAACCCCCCCCAAAACCCTATTCGAATTCTTAAGACCCCTATATGAAGCCCAAGCCCTAGCCCTACTCCCTAAACCCGAAGCACTAAAGCCACCGTGTAAAGACAGGAAGGAGGATATGCGTGGCTGTCAAAATTATGATCCTTTTTGGGGTACCCCCAATCCTAGGTGCCGTATTATAATGGGGATCCAAAAAGGAACCACATATTGACAACCACCCATATGAGGAATATGTTTTTGAGAACGAAATCTAAAGTTCTTTTGACTCCCAGTCTGTGCCCGTCAAGAATCCCAAAAACTCAGCCTGAAGGCTCGAAAGCCCTAAAGCATTGACACCCTAAACCCTAAACCCTAAACCCTAAACCCTAAACCCTAAACCCTAAACCCTAAACCCTGAACCCTGAACCCTGAACCCTAAACCCTAAACCCTAAACCCTAAACCCTAAACCTTAAACCCTAAACCCTAACCCCTAAAGTCCCAGAAACCGCCAAGCCGCACCCCCACCTGAGAGCCCTTAAAACCCCAAACCCCCAAAAACCCTAAACCCTCAACACCTCTCAACCCTTGAACCCTTCAGCCCTTAAACCCTAAACCCCTAAACACTGAAACCCTTAAGCCCTGCAGCCCTTGCCCCCTCCCCCCCGCCTCCCCCGGTGAACCAAGGATCATCAAGCTGTTGATGACCCTCCTGGCACTGTCTTGCCCGACCCCCACGGGCGTCATCGCCCCGACCATGGTTCTAGGAGCTGGGTGTTTGGGGTTTAGGGTTTGAGGGTTTTGAGGGTTTAGAGTTCGGGGTTCGGAGTTTAGGTTTGGGGTTCAGGGTTTAGGGTCTAGAGTTGAGGGTTCCGGGGGGCGGAAGGGTTCAGGGTTCAGGTTTGCGGGTGTTAGGGCTTTTGGGGGTTTCATTTGGGTTCCCTCAACCCTACACCCTAAATCCTTAGCCGATTCGCGACCTAGGAGTGTCTCCTAGACTGGGGTTTTCGGGTTTGGGGTTCAGGGATGTGGGTTTCAGAGATTTAGGGATTTAGGGATCTAGGGCCTTTAGGGCTTTTGGGGGGTTTTAGGTATTTTCATTTTTTGATGCCTGTTTCGGGGTGGAGGGACTTTAGGACGTGAACCCCCGAAACCCTAAATCCTAAAATTCTGAACCCTGAACCTTTAGAGGTTAGGTGACGTGTGTTGGCTCGGAGATCATGAGAGGGGTTTAGGGTTTAGGGTTTATGGTTTAGCTTGGGGGTTTACGGTTTAGGGTTAGGGTTTAGGGTTTAGGGTTTAGGGTTTAGGGTTTAGGGTTTAGGGTTTAGGGTTTAGGGTTTCGGGTTTACGGTTTAGGGTTTAGGGTTTAGGGTTTAGGGTTTAGGGTTTAGGGTTTCGGGTTTAGGGTTTAGGCTTTATGAAGTTAGGCAACATTTGTTGGCTCGGAGCTGATCCGGGCTAGTGGGGTTTACGTGCTCTTGCGCGGGCCTAGGGCGTGAAGTCTTCCAAGATAACTCTTGGTAGCCCAGTGGTACCCTTCCTTTTTTGTTCAAGGTTGCCCTAAACCCTAAACCCTAAACCCTAGGCCCTAAGCCCAAAGCCCAAAGCCCTAAGCCCTAATTAAGCCCTAAGCCCTCAGCCCTCAGCCCTAAGCCCTAAGCCCTAAGCCCTAAGCCCTAAGCCCTAAGCTCTAAGCCCTAAGCCCTAAGCCCTAAGCCCTAAGCCCTAAGCCCTAAGCCCTAAGCCCTAAGCCCTAAGCCCTAAGCCCTAACCCTAAACCCTAAACCCCCTAAACCCCAAAAGGGTGGTATGCTTCCTGGCCTACCCAGAACTATTCGCCGCTACAGTGAAGCCAAAGCTCTCAACCCCTGACATTTTTAAGGTTTAGGGCTTAGGGTTCCGAAACTTGATATAGGGGTTCTAGGAGTTGGGGCTGAAGGTTTACGGCTTCGGATTCCGAGACTTTTGGGGTTCCAGGGACTAAGGCTTAAGGTCTTCGGATTCCGAAACTTGAGGGGTTCTAGGGGTTCGGGCTTAAGGTTTAGGGCTAACTTGAACCATAAACCCTAAACCCTAAACCCTAAACCCTAAACCCTAAACCCTAAACCCAAAACCCTAAACCCTAAACCCTAAACCCTAAACCCTAAACCCGGTCTGCGCGGTGAGAAGGAGCGCTGATGGCTCGATCGCTGCTCTGCTTTGTGCCCAACGCTTGCCTGGCACTTCGGCGCGTGGTGAGCCGGGCTTGGGGTTTAGGTTTAGGGTTTAGTTTTAGGGTTCAGGGTTTAGGGTTCAGGGTTTAGGGTTTGGGGTTTAGGGCTAGGGTTTAGGGTTTAGGGTTCAGGGTTTTAGGGTTCAGGGTTTAGGGTTTGGGGTTTAGGGCTAGGGTTTAGGGTTTGGGGGTTGGGTCAGGGTTTGGGGTTCAGGGTTTAGGGTTTGGGGTTTAGGGCTAGGGTTTAGGGTTTGGGGGTTGGGTCAGGGTTTGGGCCGGTTGGGGTTCAGGGTTTAGGGTTTTGGGTTCAGGGTTCAGGGTTTACCCTTGACTATAATCCCCTGAGAATCCCCTTAACCGATCAAACCCTATCCCTGAACACCCGTAGCCTCCCTAAAGCCCCCATAAAAAACCCTTAAAGCCCCAAAACCCGAAATCCCTAAGCCTCTAAACCTCTAGACCCCTAAACCCCTAAACCCCTAAACCCCTAAACCCCTAAACCCCTAAACCCCTAAACCCCTACACCCTCTAAACCCCGGAACCCCCCTAACCCCCCTAAACCCCCTAAACCCCCTAAACCCCTAAACCCCCTAAACCCCCTAAACCCCCTAAACCCCCTAAACCCCCTAAACCCCCTAAACCCCCTAAACCCCCTAAACCCCCTAACCCCCCTAAACCCCCTAAACCCCCTAAACCCCCTGAACCCCCTAAACCCCTTAAACCCCCTAAACCCCCTAACCCCCCTAAACCCCCTAAAAACCCCCCCTAAACCCCCCCTAAACCCCACCCCCCTAAAAAACCCCTAACTAAAAAAACCCCCCTAAACCCACCCCCTAAACCCCTAAACCCCCTAAACCCCCTAAACCCCCTAAACCCTAAACCCCCTAAACCCCAAACCCTGAACCCTAAACCCTAAACCCTAAACCTCATAAACCGTAAACCCCCTGCACCCCAAACAGCACACCGATGGAGCGACAGCCCAGGCGAGGGTACTGGTAGCACCTGGCGAGGCCCGGGTTTAGGGTTTAGGGTTTAGGGCTTGGGATTTTGGGTTAGGGCTTAGGGTTTCAGGCTCTTAAGCTTTGCTTCGTGGATCTAGGGTTTCAGGGGTGTTTGGGTTTAGGGGATTTGCGGCTTTGGGGCTTTGGGGTTCCTCTAGGGCTTCAGGGCAGGGGACTCAGGCCTTTAGGGCTTTAGGGCTTTAGGGCTTTAGGGCTTTAGGGCTTTAGGGCTTTAGGGCTTTGGGGTATAGGGGGTTCAGGGGATTTAGGATCAAGTTTCGGTTTTGGGTTTCGGAGGACGTGGCTCCGGGGGTTGTTTAGATTTTTTTTTTTTTCTCCGGGGGGGGGGGGGGGGGGGGGGGTTGGGGCTTTAAGGTTTAGGGTTGAGGGTTCAGGGTTTTAGGGTTAAGGTCCCTTTCAAAAAGTCAGGTGTCGGTTTGGTCATCTTGTTGTTGAGGTTCGCAGTGATCTGGCAACTCGGGGGTGAAGCTGTTCGCTGCGACCCTAAATCCTAAACCCTCAACCCTAAACCCTAGACCCTAAACCCTCAACCCTAAACCCTAAACTCCAAACCCTAAACCCTAAACCCAGCAAGTCGCTGGAGCCAGCGAGAGGTGGCGCAGGGGCGATCCCCTTGTCGAAGACTGCTGGGCGACCGAGGTGTGGCCAAAGATCCGGGCGAGTTCGAGAAACTCAGCAAAGAAGCCAGCCTGGCCGCCTCTGAAAGTGCCGGAGCACAATTCAACTCCGAGCGGTTTAGGGTTTAGGGTTTAGGGCTAAGGGTTTAGGGTTTAGGGTTCGTTCAGTTGTTGAAGCCAGGAACTACACCGGCTGACCCGGAGCTTCATGGCACCGGCGGGTTTGCCGCGAAGAAGAGGAAAATGGCGGGACCTCTCCAGGCGT